GCCAGAAAAAAAGATAATCCCACCCCAAACTCGCGCTATTGGTTAAGGAAGTGTTGCTGTGTCTGGCTGGTCAGAAATCTAAAACAAAGCAACGCTCTGAAAGCGCATCAAAGCCACAGCGTTTACCCTTCTCAGAGAAATAGCTTATTTAAGGTAGGAGAAAATATTTAAATAAATGTAAAAAATACACACTAGACCTTTAAATATTTTCTTTGTCTAGCTTGAAACAATTCTCACTGTATTACGGGGTAGAGCACAAAAAAAAGTGTTGCCTCTAGTGAATAACAGTGACCGCACTGGTTTACCTGCCTCATCCATAAGAACCGATGAACTGAAAATAGGAACAGAATAAATATAGAAGCCCGTAAATGTACACATGCATCCACGTCTGCGGCGCTGTGACTCAGAAAGACAAACAGAGTCAGGTTAGAGCACAGTGACCGCCACAGAGCATCCATCACAGACCGGCAGCCAGCCGCCGACTCCAGCGCTACACCTGCTCAACAAACATAACCGCACGCTACACGCTCAACTGAGAACAACACCGACTCCAGCGCACGTCAAAACATGAAACCGGCCCCACCAGGTACATCATCAGGATGGAGAAAAGTGGATCCAAGTAAACTGATGATTTATTATTAAGTTATTCATTTATTATCTATTTGGTTTTAGTACTATTAACCTAATTTCTATATACTCATTTTATGTCTCATGTAATCCTTGGGGCAAGACGTTCTTGTACTGTATGTTTTGTGTGTCTGTTGTATTGGACTGTGAAGTCAAGTGTATTTGTGCTATATGTTTTTGTGGGGCCGAAGATGAATTTCCACATGTGTGGACAAGATTTCTAATCTGATCTAATTTATTTGTGACTTCATGGAAGAATAAAATGGTTTTTATTGAGAGAAAAAAAAACATAACCTGAGACAATGTGGGAGGTCTATGTAAGATGCTTAGGTAGGGAATCCTGCAAGCTCGTTACGCAGATTTCAGTGCAGTAAAAATATGAAAAATATATAAAAAAGCGTGATGCATTGGTTAACATGCAGTAAGTAATGCTGTTATACAAAAAATAAATAAATAAATAAAATGTGATTCATGCATTTTCCTCAAATTGGCGCATAATTTAAAATTAAAAAACTAAAACTAAAAAATTATATATTTAAATTATGTATATATGCGTGTATATATATATATACACAAACACACACACACACACACATATATATAT